AAAAATGGAAAATATGAAACCTCGTGCAGTGATTAAATTCTTACATTTGCAGAACTTAACCCCCCCGGAAATCCCCACCGAGATTGTGACTGTTCTAGGGGACGATGTTATTTCCTATAGCACAGTGAAAAGTTGGGTTGATGCATTAATACTTGGCAGGCTGAGCCCAGATGATAAGTCACGGTCAGGTAGACCAACGACTTTAATATTTGATGAGAATATTGACTGTGCGGAGGCTATGGTGTATGCAGAATGGCCAATGACAATTACGACCCGGCAGATTAGTGCTGGTAGTGCAGAATCAATATTGAAAAAAAAAAAACTCTGAATGAAGAAAGTGCTTGCAAAATGGGTGCCCAGAATGCTGAACCCAGAACAAAAGAAAAATGCCAGCAGGTTTCGATGCAGCTTCTTGAGCGCTACCAGGTAGATCCAGCCGACTCTCTCTTCAGGGTGGTAACCCCAAATAAAACACATGTTCATCACTTTGATCCGGAAACTAAACACCAATGTCTTCGGCGAAAAAAACCCAGATTCGCCACCCTTCGAAAATTCGAAGCCATCAGCTAAGCCGGCAAGGTCAGGGCCTCTGTCCTCTGGAAAGCACCTGCAATTCTGCTTGGTGAATATCTGGAACATGAAACGACCATCACGGGTGGTTATTACACAAACCTGCTTTGGAAGCTGAGAGAAGCAATCAAGAAGCGCCGAGAGAAACTTTGCCGGGGTGTGCTTGTTCTCCAATGCAGCCGAGCACGCCTCACGGGTTGCTAACTTAATTCACCACCTATGTAGCTTCGAATTGCTTCCACTCCCTCCTTATTCTCTTGCTCTGGCTCACTCTGATTTTTTCATTTTTCTCTTTTGAAAGAAAATTTGTGGAGAAAGAAATTCAGTAGTGACGATGACGTCATGATGGTCGTTGACAGTTGGTTTGAAGACCAAGTACCATAATTTCTTTTTTGATGGACTGAAAAAGCTGGAATCGCGATGGCAAAAATGCATTGCTTTTCTAGATGATATCAAAAAATGAAATAACATTCATTTTCATCAGACTTCGTCTTCTCCCTTAGGCAAGAAACTTTTTGAACGCCTCTCGTACATGTTGAGTACAATGCATAAGCGTTAGGTAAATTCAAGTGCTTCTTTCGAGTGAAATGAAATTTAAAAATTCAAAAGAGACTAGTCTTTATTTACGAAAGAGGTGGTAAGAAAGTCCCCGAAGTCGAGCATGAGACAGAAAGCTCGTCACACATGCGACTCATTGAACAAGATGATGAGATCACACTGCACCGACCGCTAGAGCTTCCCCCCTTCCTCGTCCTTCGTCCTTCGAGCCTTGCCCTCGAGGATGGTCCTCTTGAAGAGATCGGCATAGAGCCGGACCGCCGGGATGCTATCGTCGTTCCCCGGCACCGGATACGTGATCGTCGACGGGTTGCAGTCGGAATCCACGATCCCAACGGTGGGGATGGCCAGGCGTCCCGCCTCCCCGATCGCCCAATGGTCCTCGAGCACCGTGTCCAACGTGTTCAAGAAGATGCACAGGTCCGGCAGCCGCGTCACCGCGCCGAACTGCTTCTCGCTGTTGGTAAACAGACCCTTCCTCCATCGCCGGCAATGCGAGTACTCCCCGCACTCCTGAGCCGTGCGCTCCACCAAGTGAAGGGTGGGCGGGTGGCGCGAGAGGAAAAGGATCACGCCCTGGCGGTAGGCGACGTGGGCGGTGAAGTTGAGCGCGTCGTGGAGGAGCGAGAGCGTCTGGTCCAGGTCGAACACGGTATGGCCGAGGCGAGAGCCGAAGAGGAAGCCCTTCATCCGAGGGTTCAGTCTCCCATCCCGGTGACCGTAATGGACTCGCGCCTCGAACAGGTCCTGTCGGAGTTTCACATACCGACTCGTTGTATACATGGTACAGTACCACCACTCTCTATAGTAGTTGCATTATCTTCTCGCAATCAGCCGGTATAAACAAACTAAAGGCGACTTTTCACTTTGCTTCTATCTTTGACGGGACAAAACCAAATACAAGAAGTTATTGTGTCACTTCTACCTTGGGAAGACAGACATTGTGCCATAAATATAATTCTTTCAAAGCAATTACCAAGGATTCCTCAACATTCCACATTCAAATTGTGTTAGCACATTATGTGAACATGAAATCTATCTTTAAAAATATTCTCTGAAATTTTCAAATTGAATATGAAATAACCGCAAGAAAAGAAGCAAAACAATTTCCTTATACTCCTCTCAACTTTCAGAAAGACTTGCTTCTGAATATTCTTGTAAATTGAGAACATAGATGGATCCTCAAGCTCTTAAGGAGAGTTCAAAACGGGACCAATACGAACACTAAGGAGGGTCCGTTTTCTTCATTATGAAAAAAAAAATCAGTCCAATAAAAACTTCATGGAAACACATTCGTTGCGCTACATTCTAATGCACTAACTACAAGCAACATGTCATTAATCAAAACAACAGCAGAGGTGACTTCTTGGCGATTAAGCTCCCTTGACTCACCTGAACTGAGACCAGGGACTGGACAAAGGGCTTGAAGTCTGGAAGTGGTGGGGAGGGCGGGGCCTTGAGTTTGAAGTCCCTCAGGAGCTCAGCGTCGGTCTGCAGGGTGACGGGCATGGGGCAAAGCTGGCGACGGAGCTCCTCCTGCGGATCCACCAGCGTGGCGTAAGCCCGACGAGCGAACGCCAAGTGGCTGCATCGCCTAACACTGCCCAGCATCTCTATGACGTGGTCATCTACAGAGATGGAGGGAATTTTTCCTCAACTACGGCCCAACAGACCAGTCCACTCGTCAAACAGGCACAGAACATGAGGAAGTGCAAGCAGTTCTCCAAGAGAAAGCTTTAGGAAGCTTACACTGCCTCACATTTGCACTGTTTTCATAAGTCAGTAAAAAGGTAAAAATATATTTTAAAATAAACAAGCATATGCAGAATTGAAGGAATCATGACAATATGAGGCTGAATGAGTATGAAGTTGATTTACAAGTGAATAAATCATTATTGCAATCACAGAAAACACGTCGAGCAACAAATCTCCAACATGTGACTGTCAAAAAAAAAACAATCAAGGTTTCAGAAAAAGTTGCCTCACCTTGCAGGAAATATTAGCAGATTTGTATCACTGAATGTGCCCCAGATGTGCCCAATTGGCAAGTGAGACCTCCCACTCTGGGGCCAAGCAAGCAGCAAACCACATGCAGAGACTAGATAGTTTAGAGATTGAAAAACTCATTTATTTGTAGGAATAGATCTTTGTCTTTTACCATCTCACAACAATAAATAACAAGTTCACAAATATCACCATGTGCAGCCCTGGAAAGGGAAAAAATGTTGAAGCACCCAGGAAGGGGGAAGGTGTTGGACACCCAAGAAGGGGATAATGTGTTCCATCATATACCCAGGATAGGGTGAAAGGGTTTTCCATCACGTGCCCAGGACGGGGGAAAGGGCGTTCAATCGATCTTGGACGAGTCTGCATTCGTCGAACGACGATGGAAGACCGCCTCCAAGACGGACATCCAATAGGAGAGGGAAAACGGCCACTCGAACTCGTTTGGAACGGTGCCATATACATTCCCCTCGAAATAGGACAGCATAGGAAAGTAGACCTGTCGGGGAAAACAAAAATAACAAATTGAAGAACGAATGCAGACGGTCGATGGGATCATCAGACGAGGGCATACCTTCGTCTTAGTCGAGTGTCCTTGAGTGAATGTGCGATTGTTAGCGAGGGTGTGATAGTACAGGAAGAGCCTGGATGTGATGTAAAAGGCAATGAAGACATCGATCGAGTAATGCTCGTGCGCCGCCAGGATGAAGAAGACGCCAAACATGTTCAGGAGCCACGAAATCACATGAAGGAAGTAGAACTTTCTTGATGTATCTGAAATAGCATTCAGAGAGCCATGTCGTAAACATTTAAAATGAGTTAAGGTCCACGATGCATCTCATACAGTAAAGGATCTTATCATTGCAAAAAAAGAACCTTCCAAAACCATTCCTGAATTTGTCAGGCAGGTACAGTAGTACCTTCCTCAAAACATCGTTCTTTGTGAATGGAATTCAATTTGTAATCCCAAACAGTATTTGACAATATGTATGCATTCTATCACTGTGGCATTCACATATGAATCCAACACCATGCCATTGACAAATGCTCCATTATGCAAGACCTCCCAGGATCACCAAATAGTCCCAGACAAACTATTGTACAGAAGAAAGAGTAGATGTGCTGAAGCAATAACGAAGAAGCTTTTTAATAGGGTCTCTACCTCAGAGACTTTGGTCTTAATGGAGCCGACAGCTCGTTTCGGACCAGAAAGGACCATGAAACTGAGGCCATCTAAGGGCCAAAGTCAAGCCTTTCATTTTTCTTGGGCCTGTATATTAAAAGCGGGGTGAAGAGAACTGAGCATGGCAAATGGAAAATTACTTAGTTCTTGAGCTTGAGGCCCTTCCAAAGCTTAGACCTAATAGAACATACTATATCATTTTCAAAAAGGAGAAAAAAGAGAAACAAACATTCAGTTATGAAGAAGTTGAGCATGGTGAGCATGACGGTGTGGCCGGAGAACATGTAGTCGCCGCACGTGCGCACGCCCTGGATCGACATCCCGGCCCCTCTCCAGATCATGCTGGCTTCGTGCAATTTACTCCCAAGATCTCCTGCGGGCTGGATCCAACAATGAACAGGAAACAAATCTCAAACTCTGCAGATGCTTTGTGTCTGCCACACAGACCATGAACTTGTCTAAAACTTCTAGTATCCATAGGGAATATCTTCAACTAGTGAGTTTGTTTGCCCAAAGGGCAATATTGGACAATGGACAATGGTCACACCTTCAGTGTTCCATTGTCCAGGATAGTGATTCATAAATTAATTTACTTTCAATGTGGAAAAAACGTACTAAAAGCATATGCCTGTCAAAATATGTGGCACGAGAGGATGATCCGATATTTTCATCGTAGTAATTACTTCTATTATTTATAACTACAAATCCTTTTATAATCTGCATTGAGGGGACAAATATGAAAAGTAGGATCTGTAATCAGCAATTGAACAGGTACTTCTGCTCCATGTTTCAACTTTCTTCAGTTCTGTCTTTTGTTGGAACAAAAAAGATTAAGGAAAATGCACCTTTGCAAAAAATGTGCACACAGGGGTTTCAGGTAAAAATGAATATTTTTACCGAAATGAGTATTCGAGGCAATACGAGTCCACCAAGTTTCAGCCTCATCCATACACTGGTGCAAAAATATCTTTGGAAAAGCCAACCCAGCCAAAAGCTGTGTCCTGTGGGAATGTACCACAAAAGATGAATTTTTTATATAAACTCAGCATCTCCTCGGTTAGGCATGTGGTAAGTTTCAGCCTTTCTATCTCTGCCCAATTTGGAAGGTCAAACAAATTAATTGAAAACTTTCCCCCAAAAAAGTATGCCACCAGGGGATGTATTGAAACTTGACATTTTTCCTAAACTCAGCATCTTAATAGGCAAGTCCATGTCATGTTTCAGCTTTCCATATTTCTCTAATTGACTGAAGCAAATTTATACATTAAAAAGCATCCCCAAATTGGGTCCCCCAAAGCATGTACCTCCAAAGTCAGATTTTTTCTGAACTCTGCATCCCAATATGTACTTGTGTTCCAAGTTTCAGATTTCTAACTTCTCTTCTCTAGAACATGGTTAGAATCAGCACCAGTCAGTCACTCAGTCACAACCATCTACAGATATTAGATTCCAGAATGTATTAGTAGAATATTGTTTCCATGGTTCAAATACAAACAAGCAACAAATATAGTAATATGAAAAATTATGATACAAATACAATAAACATATAGCTATAGAATTTGACCAAGCAAAAATGCTATCTCTAAATTTGGAAGGTACTTCATGCATTGTAAAATTAAATATAAATCGGTGACAGTATAACGGGATGTCGACGAGAAGATTAGGCTATCATACGCGTGCTTTGCAGTCAAGATGATCTCCTGGGACAGACAGAGATGTGATGAGCATAGTGACACACCGGAGCAGGAACACGGTACCAGACAAGCCAAAGAACCTCCTCAGGATTATGAACCTACCCAAGTACAACATTTCATGAGTCACATTTACAACAATGATTACTGACATCACCATGACTCACATAGACATGAGGGTAGCTCCTTGAGCATGAAAAACACAGTACATGTTGATAACCTAAAGAATTTCTATTAAAGCTTATAGGGCATAGGAAGAAAAGTACTGGCAAATGAGAAATGCTCAAATGGATTTCCTTTTTCCACTGAAATGCTAAAAGTATCTCTCTAATACCTCATGGGAAGCATGCAAGCTTAAAGGTATATACCTTGAACACAATAGGCTACTCCAATGCCTCCAGATTTCATGCACGAGAATGAAAATCACCTGTGCTTGTGGAACACCAGGATGGAAACCGAGATGCAGATGAGAACGGAGGCACAGATCTCGCTCATGTCGAACGCCCACGGGATGAGCGGAATGTTGTCGAGGACGATGTCCGGAAGGGGCGGGTGGCGGGTCATGTCCGGGACGCGGTCGTGGACGATGACCATCGTGAAGGATGTGACCCAGGACACGAGAAAAAAGTAGGCCAGGCTCACAGAGAGCTTCCAGAATTCAGGACGGAGATTTTTGGCATGTCGGGGAAAGGAGAAGCTCAGGTCCGATCCCATCTCGTCGGAGCTCGATCCGGACTCCCTAAACCTGGCAAAAATTGACACATTCCATAGGTTAATCTATAATGGATCAATGGAAAAAACTGCCAGAAAATCAAGATCCACTAATCAATAAAAAAAAAAGGGAGTTTGGAAAATGTAAGTCTTCAAAATATGAGACCATAAAACCAAACTCAATGCACTGTTTCTGCAATCTGTTAACTTCTCTTCTCAACAGCTGCCTCTGAGACTCCCTCATGACATTTCAAAATATTTAACCTAGAAACTTTACGGATGCTGAATTGATGGCTGGCCATTATTTGCAAAGAAGTTTTCAGATATTAACCTTATTCATTCATACTACTTTTTCATAAATCATCTCTCTCAAGATTACCTTACTGTAACAAAATGTTGAGGATTTCTACAATAAAATTCACCTGATAATGGAAAAGAGTAAAAAAAAGAATTTCCATCCATATGTATCAATTTTGAACAACCTCTATAGGAAATTAGAAAACCAACTACATAAATCTGATTTGAAACTTCTGAATGGGAATATGGCTATGTAGGACAACATGCATCAGGACTGCAATCCCTGAGCTTTAGACAATAATGAGCTATAAGACCCAAAGATCTTAAGGTATTAGGCTACATGAAGACCCAGAAAGCGAAGTTTCACTCTTTCACTCTGTCATAAAAATTCATTACCAAACAAAAGGACTTCATTATTTTCCAAGTATGGGAAAATATCATCACAATCAACCCATGCAACTTCTCACACAACAGCAATAAGCATAAAAGTTATCTTAAAATTGTCCTGCACACAATAGGATGATCCAAGGGACAGCACCATCACTCACGAGTTTCTACGGTACCGCAAAGGAGCACTGGCCATGGACGGAGGAAACTTTCTGGATCCCATGTGACCGAAGCCATTGGGGTGATTCAGTCCTTCACTTCCAGCCTCTATCTGGAGATCACGAATGTGCTTCCACAGTTTCTTCATATCACCCAGAACCTAAGAAAGGAGTGGATAGAAAAAAAGAAATTAGATACCAGTAAAAGGCACTTCTACACAAGTCTTTCATTCCACTAAATACGATTAAGTACAGAACACCTTGATGGAGACTTGGTGAAAGTTTCATTTGATACCTTGAGAGGATGCTCAATTTAGCTATTTATTATTTATTTGCCTAAATTTCAGGCAGAACCTTAGTGAACTTTTGCACTGAAATGACAGTGAAGAAGCTAAGGCATCAGCAATTAATCAGCCAATGGGTTACTGCAGTAAGTAGATGGTAAGAAATCATGTACCATTTGAGCTTTCTAGACTGCAAGTAAACACTCCATTCTAGCACTTGAAGTGTGATGCAAATATCTCTCTGTCCTCTACACTGCTCTATATTAAAGAATCACACTGACTCACCAGTGTGAAAAAAAAAAACAAGTAGTGAAAATCCCAATATGCACAACAGTATTCACTCCCCATTTGAAATACCAATGTCACAGGAATAACGGCACTAGAGCAGAGCTTTCAAAGATAACATGCAATGCTGTTATCAATGGATTTTGTTAAGCATTTTAGGCACCTCATACCAAAATACTCCTTGATGTAGAAAAGTGGATAATATCCACATCGATGGAGAGTAGAATGAGCTGTGGAAGGAATCGTAGTGCACAGTGAACTTTCAATCCAGGTGAAATATTCCGCTTCAAAGAATACTACGACTGACAAATTACCTTCTGAGCTCACATACTCTATACTCTTAGTGAATTCACCATGAACTTAAGCTCGATGTCAACGGCCTTTAGCTGTGCTCTGACCTTGATCTCCAGTGGAGGGAGGCGGAGATCCTCTTCCTTCAACAGGAGAAGAGTCTCTCCATCGATGCTGTGTTCATCACAGAGCCTATCACCATATTGTGCAAGACCAACTTCTTCCAGCCACTCCCGAATGTCCTCCTTCGTCCATCGATCCACGTGCCTGGGCCTCGGCCTCGTGTGAATTCCTTCCATTCCCAAGGGTGGGCTTTCTTCCCAAATGATTTCCTCAGCAAGGACCTGGCCTTTTGCTTAACATTGGTCTTGGCTGAAGCTTATTTCAGGTCCCACATCGAACACTTGTTTCTGCACTATTCACTCACTGTTCAAATTACATGAATATATTAAGTTGCAGGACATAGGCAAAGTGAAATCCTATACATTTAACCTAATTTCCTAGTTAAAGGGCCAAAGAACTGGAGTGAAAAGAGGAGCGGGACTGATGATTTCCAGAATAGGAGAATCTACAATGGCTTCCAAGTTTGGTGATAGGCTAACATGTGCCTAAACCATCTTTACCAGAGTTTTCAATGAGGAACTTTCTTAGGTTCAAGCTTAGCTGAGCATACCCAGGTCTATGGCCCCTCTTGGAAATGACAGCATGAACTTCGCAACCATTCTCAACTTCATCTTCAACTGATACGTATGATGGATGACTTGATGACAGCAATGCCCAACATACCCCAACCCATCATTGAATACCCACTAGACACAACAGCCACATAGCAGTGCTAGGCCTAGGCTAATTAGACAAAGGTCTACTAATATTTACTCAATATTCTCTGGGCCCACACCATAACAGTGATATCATTCAACCAGTTTAACATCGGTTTAAGTTCATCTCCAGATTGGGTAATCGAAGAGTTATCGGTAATCATGAGGTGGGACCTACTATATGGTGTCATATATGTGACCTACCAGAGCACTTTGGGTATGCAGTGAATGATCTATGAAGTTTGCATTAAATACACTTTTTTTTACACATAATTTTACTATCCAATGCCATGTAGGCCTGCAAATTTCAGCATTTGACTATTGTTAGTTTTCACATTAGATTAATCGATGAACACAGCCTCGATGTCCCGAGTGCATGCCTCAAACTTGTTGTTCGTGGGGTTGAGGCTAGGCCACCAGGCCTCAACAAAGTGCCTTGGCAGAAGCTTGGATGTTGTTCCATGCTTCTTCTTGAGTTTGATGTAACAAAACACCATTCCAGGAGCCAGTTAACTACACTCTCCTTACTACTGATGATCAAGTAAAAATTTTGGCTTTGCATGATTGCAAATACTGCTGTCTATATAGCAACACACCTTTATATACCCCAATATTCATGTGACCGCAGCCATGACCTTACTGTTCAGTGTGACTGAGAGGCACATTGGAGGGATTTGAGTCTGGATAGGCTACCCACCCAACCCCCCCAAATATACCTTCCATATGCCTGTCAAGCTGCCATGCAATGTTGTCACTACAGCCCAGTGTAGGACATCACCCCACACAATAAGTCGCACCTCATACGATTGCCAACAATTGAATCTGGAAGCAAAACATAATTAAACTGATGAAATGAAAGGCCTATTCTATGTAAGTTCATGTTTACTTCAAAATAAACCATGATAGCAATGTCATCGCACCAGTTTCGGTAAACTGAAACCGAAACCGGAGTTTAAGAAACCCTACGGTCTCACATCATCCAAGAATGAGAATACGCCGAAGCAGACGGACTGGAAACAATTGTCAAGCTGTGCTAGATTCAGTTTCAGAAATTTCAAGCACAGATTTTGATTGACATCATTTTCAGCTTTTTTCACTTTTAGTTTATCTCTAACGTTAGATAAGGGAATTCAAGAAATTGCAGATTGCAGATTGAAGACTCTTTTCAATTGGAAATACAATGAGACTTTCACTATAATTAAACCGAATGACATGAATTCTACGTTCGCCAAGGATAACGTTAGTAAAATCCCAGTCATGATTAATTATACCAGTAGGCCTACTGTTAAACCTGACGATTTCAAATTCGACATACCGTTAACATGGAGCATGATATTTCGATGCTACGACCAAGATGAGAAAATGTATTCAATGACAAAAATATTATCACGATAACCAAGATAAGAATTTCCGCGCCAACCACTATTAAGCCTACGCCTCGGCAAGATAAAAGAAGCGGTCTCCCGTGATCGGGGGAGAGGCCACGTCGAGCACCGAGCTAGGACCTGATCATTTCATTAAAGTCTGCGCCCCGGTCGGCTCAGACGCCAGGCTAATTATATCCCCGCCTCGACGAGACGAGAGAAGAGCACGGGCCTAATACACCTCGTTCGCAACGTAGTTTACCGCATTCTCCGATGGAGGAAAGAACCCGTTTCTGCCATGAGCCATCGCGTCGGAAATGCGGAAAAGAACGCTCGCATTCGGAAGACGCACTCGAGCCGGCGAGCAAGGCGTTCGGACACTGACCCCCTCGGACCCTCTGGCACGTGAACCTCCGCCATCACCGACGATGACGTCGCCCCGCAACGATGACGTCACCCGACGGCCGTCACGTGCGACCCACGTGGACGACCGAGGACCGACGAGGAACGCCGAGCCGTGCGACCCGATGGATGCGTCCTCCCTTCGCGACGGGCCTGGCTGCCCCGACGAGAGGATGCCAGAAAGCGGACGGAAGCCAACGACATTCCTCCTCTGCCTCCCTCGAGACTCGAACTGAGCCGAGCCGACGAGCGGGCGGGCATGAGGCTGGCATGAGGCGGGCATGCGGGGCAGAGCGAAAACAGAACTTTTTTTCCCCGCTTCCCCCAACCTCGAGAAACTCGGCGCACTTACGACAGCTGCTGTTACGAACGGACGAAACGCCGAAGAGAAATTTCCAACTCCTTTTTTTTTCTCAACTCGGAGACGGATCGCCGCCTCTCCTCGGAGGCGGATGCTCGCAGGCGCGGAATCCGAAAACGGCCCGAGCCGAATTCTCCCGAGGGAAATCCGTCGGCGAATGGATGCGACGGCAATCACCGCGAGTATTTTTCTTCTCTCGAATTCGCGCAGGTTTTGCGTCGTTTCTCGCCGATGCCGACTCATCCTTCACCTTTCCCCGGATCGAAACAATCGTGCTAAAAAAAAAAAAAAAAAGAAA